GTGCTGCGCGTGTGCACCGTGCGTACTCGTCGGGTACCAGGTCCGCCAACAACTTCCCATGCGCTCCGCCTCCGTCGGTCTGTGTACCCTCGCAGATGGTTGGACGCTCGATCTCAGTGCGGCCGCCGCAGACCTAGCACCCCAATCGTTCGTTTCATTTCCTCACTGCTCGGTCTGTACATATGTGCTCACAACCATTCAATCCGAAGTCAACTTAGTTGGATATGCGCTCCTTCGTCCGCGTCCACGGCTCTTCGCCCGGACGTACAACGGCGAGCGGCCCGTCAGCGCCTGCCGCAAGAGCCAGCATGTACGCTTGTTTCGGATTTCGCGCGTCAACAGCTGTCCCTCAGCATCGCTTGCGACTCCACAAAACGCATGCCGACGGACGATAGTTGTCCCGATGATGCAACGTGCAGTACGGTGTTCGTTGAACCAGACGAAAGCGTGATGCGATGGGATAACTCTCGTCCTGTCGGTCCGTCTTGTCGACGCTGAAGCGCATTGACGTCTCAACCGTTCCATTGCTGCCGAGATATGTACCTACCCTCCTGGTAGCTACTGCTACTCTTCCAAATTCCTCAATACTCGGCACTTGTGTACACTTCATGCCCAGTACGAGTTCGCGTGGGTCGAGGACTCGTTCACCGCACGTATGGTATCGGCCTGCTGGTTGGTACCCTTATGAAACATAATAATAAACCAGTCATAGCGCTGATTAGGACTTCCATGAAGAGCTAATTTCTGTCACGATGCATCCGCGGGCATTTCCCTGTATGTCTCGCGCGGGCTCGCGTGAGGGGTGAGTGAGTGGATGCGCAGGGCGCGTGACATAATTTCCGTTGCTCCTTTCGATCAGTGTCAACACCGGCAGCCATGTTTGCCTATGCTGAGCCCGCACCCATCTGTTTTTACATGTTGTTCGCGAGCATTGTACGGCTTTGAACCTATAGGCTCACATCTGCTCATACCCTACTCCGCGTAGCCCCTAAAACAAACCTGCGAGTGGTTTTGCGGCCTCTGGCGCTTGTTTGCAACATCTCTATTTCCATATGATGACGCTGCCCACAGGATAGACACGCAAATTATGATTGCACATATGCTAATACACACCAAGTATGTGACAATGAGAGAGGAAACGTCGCTGCACAACCAGACACGAAAAGAAGGGAACAATTGCTACAAACTGTCTTGAAACAAGACCTACGCTCACATCAGCGCGTCAACGATGTCGATGCTCGCTCTCTTCCTTTTGATAAGTAGATCGATCTGGCGCTTCATGTTTCGTCAGTCACTGTCTGCGGCAAGTCTCAAGTACCCCCTGACCTTGTGAAGTAGATCTATCGTGTCTTGAAGTGATTGGTACGTGCTCGGCGCACGGATCACGTCGGAGATGCTGAATACGCCAAGAGGTGTTCGTATATCATCGGGGCCACGTCGCGCAGCTTCGACCTCCGCCTGTAAATGAGCATGTTTAAAGTTCGAAGTAGAACGGACAAACGCATCGACCGACCTGGATTATCTCAAACGCGCGACTTTGTATGTCTGACTGGATCCACATGTCATCACAGAGGGACGCGCAATCGGTACCCTTCTTGAGAAGCTTCTCGCGTAGGCCCGTGGCCGCGCGACGTTGCAAGATCTTGCATTCGTATGCGACACTCGCGAGGGTCTTGGAGGCTCTGGTCAGACGGCCGTTGGAACGATACCCGGGAAGCGACCTAAAGGCCTTCTCCAACTCAACCTGACGCACGGTGATATAAGTTAAGAAGACGCCAGAAGATTCAGCCTCGTCTTCGCTTACCTGCGAAAGGTTCAGGAAGTGAAGCAACGGCTGTAGCTGAAGGAGTTCGGATCGGGCTCGCTCTCCTTCAGCCCTGCACCGATCGATGTCGTCGCGAAGCAACTCCAGCTTAGCATGCCACAAATCTCCTTCCTCCATGGGTAGGAGGCCTCGGAAGACTTGTCTGAACAAGTTTATCAACTACACCTTGAGCGTCAGCGAGAGAAATACAACATGTTTTCCCACACTCACCTCAGCATGAACGTAGTGATTGTCAGAGAGGGATTGAATGATTGTGTCCAGTTGTCCCAGAAGAGCGAACTCCGGGTCGAGATCGTAGGCCTTCGCAACTGCAGCCTGCAGTTGCCCACGCACGTTACTGAGAGAAGTCGCAGAGAGTCTTGCGGTGAGGCGCAACAGCTCTCTGGCCCAGCGTTTCTGATCCGTCTTTGGCAAGTGGAGTTTGCCCCAGAACCTGTGACGATGTCGAGTGTCAAGTGCCAGAATAGACGAGAATAACTATGAGCGCTTACTCAATACGTTGCTCCTCAATTGCGCTGTAGAGGTCCAGCACGGCTTGATAGTCTGTGTCGACACCACTGGGGACCATCCCGCTTACGAGTATGGCTGTTAACGGCTTCCTGGGGTTGACATCGGTGTCTGCGTCACAATTCTCCCCGGGTGAGACACCAGCAAGAGTCTTCTTAGACGAGGAGACGGCATTCACGGCCGGTGTCTGAGACACGTGGGTGATGGTATTGTTCTTGTAAGAGGAACTATCCATGATAGCAAGGGTGTTGAAAGCAAAGCAGAACGATCGAGCAATGAGAGGCTGACTAGGGCGACGACGCTGAACGTCGAGTGTTCATCCAGGACGAGCAAGTCTTATACCTATGGGGAGTGGGGTCGACGATCGACGTCTACTTTGTCCTTCGGAATCTGCCTGACAAGGCAAGACCAGACGAGTATTATCGTACACAAAGGAGTAACCGGCCGCCACACTGAATTATACTAACGCCGACGTCCGCGGACAGAGTGCATCCGGCAAGCGGTGCGTACGACCATTCGAAGACACGCGTACAACACGTGTCGTCAGGCTGAGTATGTGGCGGAAGCACCCGTTTCCGTTCCTTTGTGCATCTCAAGGAACACGACCAAACGAAACCCAGATCTCAGGCGCGGGGCGATAGTGTGACAATGCACGCCCGCCGGCCCGCCCGCCGCATAGATACGAAACCTGAACATCGGAACTGAGCATCGAGCGGACTTACGACGAGACCAGAGAACAGCGGGATAGAACAGCGGTGGTACAGGTCGAGCTTCACATGAGGTGGCGGACTTTGATACCTCCTAGATTTCCGAGAGCTAGCGCGAAACTCTCGAACGACATCGGAAACCGGGTTGAATGGGCCAAGTGTATTGCACGTACGCGTTCTGTCAGACCGCAGTGGGCAGATTCGGCGCCACAGCGCGGAAAAACACGAGAATGCGCAGCACGTCCGCAATCTGTTCTCCCGACAGGCGACGTGGGTGCAGCCGGACGACGGGGAGGAGGTGTGGCGAAGGGAGCAAGAGCGGACGGCTAGCGCGAGGCGTGACAGAGGGGCGAGAGTGAACGGGGGAACAGCGATCGAGAACGGGAACACGTACCTGTCGATTCAACCCGCCGCGTCGGTGAACAGGGCTCGGGCTACGGGCGCGGCGCCGACCTTGGTGTCGAGAGCGCAAACATGGCCGGGGTCCACAGGACGGGACGCGTCGCCCCCGCGATGTGGTCTCCTTCGTGGACGCCTTCTGCGCCTTCTGCGCGATCCAGAAGGGATTAGCGCTGCGCAACGGACACGCGCGATAGTCGACAGGCGAAACGGGCGACTTACGAGGGTGTCCCCGGGATCAAAAGTGCAGGCCCGCACAGTGCTGGGCAGGCGGCTTGGGTTGCTGGACGCGGCGCGAGCGTCG